GCAGCTGGTTTGCCAAGTGGCTAGTGTGTAATGAAATGATGCAGTTATTGACCAGTTCTGAGTAAGAATTCCCTGATTATATTGTACCAAGAGGAATGGAGGAAATGTGTTCTGACAGATTCAAAATACATTCAGCACTTGTCACTGTGAACTTGATAACTCTTGGCACTTGCAAACTTCCTATTTTAAAGATAAAAAGACATTAACAGAGGTTTATTAGAAAATTTCACAAGTCTTTGGTGAAAGTATCACAGAAATCTTAGAGAAAATGTTTAAATACTTTAATTGCAAACAAATTTGAAACAGATGGATAACTTTTCTTAATTGGTGCCATCAACTTAAAAGAAGATATATATATATGTATATATATATATATATAAGATGTTTGATTGTATATAAAACACAGCATATTAAAAAGAGAGTTTTCAAAATATTTTGGGAAAAAAATGTTGACTTTCGTAAACTGAAGATTTGAAAGGTAGACCACTGGATTCGAATGCCAGCATTCTCATTGCTCTGTGGGTTTCCCAGACACAGTGTTTCCAGTTACTATTGGAACTGTTCTCACTGGAGAACATTTGGGAAACTCTAATTGGGGTTAGGACTTAACTTCATGGGTTGCCCAGCTTTGGGCAAGGGTCATGGCTATGTAAAAAAGAGCAAAAGCAGCAAGTAAGGCAGAAATTACATATGTCTCTATATTTGTAAATATATGTGTGTATTTGGTATATGTACTCAGCTACTTGCTGAATATACATACTGTCTGGTTCATTTCAAAACATTTTTAAGTGCCTACTGAGCAAGATGAAGTCCTGGTGTGGCACTGTGGGCTAATGTGCTAAACTGCAAAGTCAGTTTGAACTACAAGGTCAGTGGTTCAAGCTCACCAGCCACTCCTCAGAAACCCTATACAGGGTCACTATGGCTCGGAACCGACTCGATGGCACTTAACAGCAACAACAATTAGGTACGACATAATGTTTACATTCTGGAGCTCTGGTAGCGTAGTGGTTACGAATCGGGCTGTGAACCTTAAGGTCAGCGGTTCGAAACTACCAGCCGCTCCGTGGGAGAAAGATGAGGCTTTCTACTCCCGTAAAGATTTACACCCACGGAAACCCTGTACAGGGTCGCTATGGGTCAGAACCAACTCAATGGCACTTAACAACAACAACGTTTACACTCTGTAGGGGGCCATCAAGCTTGAAGCACTTGTTCTGCCTTGATTTGCAGACGTGGTCGGTGGTTGTGGAGGTGACTGGAGGTAGCACAGTGAAAAGAGATTGGGAGTCAGGGTGATTGAATTTGGTTCCTTCTGGTGCTTCCAGGCTGCATGGCCTTGGGTGGGTTACTTACTCTTTTTGCACCTCAGGGAGATGACCGTATCTATCTGACATGCCTCAGAGCTGTTGTAAGGATAATTTAAACAGATCATGTGAGAGCTTAGTACCAACCATAGGCTTTATGTAAAATAGATCACGTGTGGTTGTAGAAGCTAGCCACAGCCCTGTTCCCTGCTGCTTACTGGGCACCTGGTCACATTCTTGAACTCCAAGGTGGCCAGGTTAGATGGCAATGCCTGAGTCTTGAGGGGATGGTGTTGTCCCTGTCATTGCACTCGTGTGTCTGGGGTGGTTTCTGAAGGCTCTGCCAAGACAGCACCGTGGGCTGAGCACCTCAGGCAGCAAGCATATTGTGATCTTAATGACTATAACTTCTTGTCTTTGGAATTTCATCACTTCTTCTCCTCAGGGACCATCACTTTAGGAAATTCCATTCATTTTTGTTTTAATTCTTTTATTTCAGCATTTTACTGTTGAACATCAGGGGTTGCCAAGGTCAGAATCCATTGTTCTTAAGAGCACTGTTACCAATCTAGGATTCAGAGCTGGAGGGAACCTGGATTGGAGCAGGAACTAGGACGGATGATGCTGTCTCTCTGCTCAGTTTCTTATTTTCTAGCAGACTCAGGGCAGGCTTGTATGTGTGTTCAATAGATTTGCCCATTTTGCTGGTGTTCATCCCATACCCCCCAGGGTGATAGGTTGTTTTCTGGAATGGGGGATGGTCTACTGTGGGGTGACACTTAAGCCAGTAAAGTTAGCGGCAGCATTGTGAACATCTGTCTGGTTCGCTGCTGCCCCTGGGCAAGGGGTGTTGGGTGCTAGCTCAGTTCTACCTGGAAGCAGTGAGAATGATCTGTGTCAGCCTAAACCCAGGTCATTGTTTTCAACCTTCGCAGAGCCATGAACTTTTCATAGAAATAAAATAAATATCAACTATGATTGGTTGTTGTTGTTAAGTGCCATCAAGTCGGTTCCAACCCATAACAATATTGTATAGCGTTTTCCAGGAGCAACTGGTGAGCTTGAAGTGGTGTGTGACCTTGTGGTTCAAATCGACTTTGCAGCCCAGCACATTAACCCACAGCGCCACATCAGGACTCCACTGTGATTGGTAGACATACATAATTTCTACCTTACTTGCTGTTTTTAGCTCTTTTTCACATAGTCATGATCCTTGCCCAAAGCTGGGCCACTCATGAAGTTAAATCTAACCCCAGATAGTTGGCACTCAGAGCCACAGATGGCCTAATTGGTTTTTATGCTGATAATTAGTTTGTATTAAGGACACATAGACACAAACACAAACACACACACAAAAGATTTAGAAGGTGTGAAGAAAGGCTGAAGTAAGTGTTTTGGTTCCTTTAACATTTTTTCTCCAAAGCTTTTCCCCCATGCCCACTGTTGTTGTTAAGTGCATTTGAGTCAGCCTGCACATGGAAGATGACATTTATTTAGTTGTTGTTGTTGTTCAGTCCCATCAAGTCGACACCGACTCATAGCGACCCTATGCACAACAGAATGAAAAACTGTCCCGTCCTGTGCCAATTTATTTAGAGGTAGTGATGGTGTTTATGTGCTGTGGAGTTGGTTCTGACTCATAATGATGCTGCACAGGGTTTCCAAGGCTGTAAATCTTTCTAGGAGCAGAAAGCCTCATCTTTCTCTCATGGAGCGGTTGAGAGTTTCAAACTGCTGACCTTGAAGTTAGCAGCCTGACGCATAACCACTACACTACCCAAATAGTGTTAGAAAAACCTGAAAAAGACATGAACAGTATTCCTGAGAAATTCAACATATTATGCAGGCATTTTGTTCCGGTGAACGTCCTCAAAATATCTGCAAACTTAAGACAAACATTGTTGTTAAATGAGACTAAAAAACATGTTGGTCTTTATGCAAATTTGTTTTAATAAAATATTTTCCTCGTTATTATTATTTTTTAAATTATTCTTACCCCAGCCTTGCTGATGAATGCAAGGTCCATTCATGAGTGACGTACCCTCATGCCCACGCCTGTGACACAGCAATGGGATTGGGTATGACACAAACACAGAGGATTTGGCAGTCTAAATCTTCTTAGACACATTGGATATTACATTGTTATGAATATGAAGCAAAAGATTCCAAATGGGAACTCATGTGATTAACCAGCTGAGCTGTTTCACCATTAATGAGATTGTTAGTACTGAACACTTTCTGCAAGTCATTTTCTTTTGAAATCTGCAAATGAGCAGATTTGTCACATCCACAATCACTTGGAAGCACCTAAGTTTTATACAGGATAGACTTTGAAAGGGAGTGTTGACCTCTTATCTTGAAATGACATTGTGATCTGATTCACAAAAACCCCATCAAAATGATCCCACTTATGACACCAGAGTCAAGGCAACGTGTTGTATAGTTGGCCCATTGATATATTGGATTAAAAGCAAATAATTTAGCTAATTGCAAATAATTTAGCTGTATATCTGGGAAAATATTTGTTTAAGCATGTGCATGGTATTGTCTTGGTAATCATTTTTTTTTCCCTTGGTAATCATTTTAAGAGTGGAGTGCTCAGTTAATCTAGAAATGGATATTCTTCTTGGTTAGATTCAAAAAGTTGGAATTGGGTGTCTGGCTTTGAAATAAACATCTTAAATGATTACTTATGAATTGTGCTGATTCATGACATTAATTTTTGTTTTTATGTCTTGTTGAAATGCTAGTTTAGCTCAGAATTTGGTAGTCCAATTAAATTGGCATTAATGATGGGGTTACTGTATAGCGTCTAGGAGGACTACTTGGGGAGCAATGTTAGAGAGGTTCTTATTAGCCTAACCCAATCCTCAAATAAGTGCTAGAATGTTAGAATCTTCTGTTAGAATTAGACAACGTGGTAGTTATTTGGCTTAGTATCATTGTTCCCAAACATACCAGATTTTAGTTGATGTAGCATCAAAAGTTTAAACACTACATATTATCAACCAGAAGTATTGCTTTGGGAAAGTTAGCGTATTTTGAGATTGATAATTTGGAAGGAGGATGTCTTGAAGTTGATTAATTAAGCAAGAAGAAAACAACAGAATAGAGAATGGTGGCATTGACTGGGCATGGCTAGGATTTGTCTACAAGGGCAATAATTAGACAAGTGAAGAAAAAGAAAAAAAATTAAGATCCAAGGCAGAAATCAGTTTGAATTTAGTTCTTAGTGGTTCATTGTAAAATCAAGGAAAGCCATCTTTTCAACATTACAATAAAAAAGATTTCTGGGCGACAGTTATAAATAGCACAGAATGTGTCTCTGCTATATTTTCACACTGACCTTTAATTCTTGCCAGAGGATATATGATTTTGGCTTTATGGGGGCAAAAGGAAAATGATGAAAAGGAACATTATAATACAACCAAAATTTCTAGCCGGCAGTCTCAGAACATGGTATGTTTTCATTTTACGTTCTGGAGACCTCTCAGTAAGCAATATGGGGAGGAACATGTGGTTGGGGTGTTCCTATCCTTGGGGGGAGGAGGGAAGGTTGTTCTTGTTAGAAATAGTTACCAAAACGTGGTATTTTAAGCCTGGCTGCTAACTGCTGAGGCCTAGTCTGTGTGTGTCATGGTAACATCTACATGTTGTACTGTTTGATGGTGTCTGTGTCCTGTCCTTTTCAAGAAAAGGAAGCGCCCAACAAGCCCCTGCGCATGCGTGTCCGGTCCTCAGATGACAAGCTGTCAGTTCATTGGAAAGCCCCGCGCCTGTCTGGAGCCAAGAGTCCCCGCAGATCCCGAGGTTTCCTTCTGGGTTATGGGGAAAGTGGCCGGAAGATGAATTATGTCCCATTGACAAGAGATGAACGAACACATGAAATTAAAAAACTCGGTGAGTTTGACAGTAATTGGGATTCGATATTTTGATGAGTTTTGTGTTTAGTTCAGTACTTAGAAGTTTCTCATACAGAAGAACATTGTATTTTAGATGCAATTTTCATTTTTCAAATATTACCATTGTTCCATCTTCTACTCTTTGATCAGCCCTCAGTCCCGGCCTCCCACCATTTTAACCTTTAACCTGTGGTAAGACCAGGGTCAACTTTTAGGAGCCCTTCACTGATAATCCCATAGCACAAAGGCCTAGGCCTTCAGTATACCGTGTGAGCTGATGAGGCCAGAAAACATGGGGCTGCAGAGAACCGCCCAACACTAAACAAGCTCTGGGAGAAAACTGGCCTGCTGCCCTGTCAGCAGAAATCCCACGCTCTGAGTCACCCGTCAAGCACGTCTTACTGGACATCTCCTAGGTCAGTCCTGGTGCCAGCTGCCAGGGTCCCTGCAGATCCGCACAGAGACAGACAGTAAGCAAACAGTGAGTCGAGGATCCTGGGACACAGTAAAATGGCCCCAGTATGGGAAGTACGGGAGCAGAGCCAGGAGCCAGCTTTCCACTGATGGCCAAAGAAGGCCCCACATGAAAAGTGACATTTGAGCAAAGGACCTATAAGATAAGGACGTAAGCATGGATGTGAGGTGAGTCCCAGGACTGCTAAAAGAACAAACAAATCTGTGTTGGAAGAAGTCCAGCTGCAATGCTCCTTAGAAGCCAGCATAGCCAGACTTCGTCTCTCATTATTGTTGTTGTTAAGTGCTGTTGAGTCAGTTCTGACTCATAGTGACACTGCATAGGGTTTCTGAGGAGTAGCTGGTGGGTTTGAACTGCCCATCTTGTGTTGATCCTACAGCACCACACCAGGAGTCCTTGCTTCAGACATATTATTAGAAGGGACTGCTACCTGAAGAAGGACATCATGCTGGGTAAAGTGGAAGGTCAGCGAAAAAGGGAGACTTAACAAGATGGATTGGCACATAGGCAGAAACAATGGGCTCAAACATAACAATTAATGATTGTAAGGATGCCGCAGGACCAGGCAGTGTTTCGTTCTGTTGTGCATAAGGTTGTTATGAGTCAGAACTGACTCAATAGCACCTAACGGCTTGGACTGTTAGGGAGATGTTCTTAGCAGAGGACATAAAACACCAGGCCCTGAAATGGGAGGGGGAAGTGATAAGAAATGAGGAGATTTGAAGTCCTCAGGAAGTTATGACCAGCCTTTAGATATGTCCTGGGTTATATCACACACATACAGTAAGAGATGAGAGTAAGCACATTAGAGAGGACACATTGGCTCTGATGGGTCTGGATGTGAGGGAATCTAGTAGGAATTTAAATTCCACCCTTTATTCAACATTCAGGGCTACAGAAAAAGTACATTTGTACACCACTGCACATTCTTCATTGTATCTCTCTGTAAAAGATAGATAGATACTGTAAACCCAACTCTCCAGGACTTTCTCAGAATGTGGATTCCCAGACCCCGACTTAGCTGGGACCCCACACCCTCCCTGGCATCAATTAAGAGCACAGGCTCTGGAACCACACGGACCTGGGTTTGAGACTCAGCTCTGCTACTAACTGGCCCTAACTGTGGGCCAGTCACTTCTTCCCTCTGAACCCACTTCCTCATTGGTGAGGCGGAGACTATCATAGTAGTTTTCTCATCGGGTTTATGTCAGGACTCAAGAACAATTGCTTGTAGAATGCTTAACACCAAATAGGGGCTTACCCAATACATGGGACTTATTAGGATGGTTTTACTGTAGCACAAAGGTTTCCCAGAATGATCATCTTGAGCTAGTTTAGCTTTGTTGTTAAATGCTGTTGAGTCAGTTCTGAGTCATAACAACCCCATGCACAACAGAACAAAACATGGCCTCACAATTGTTGCTGTTTGAGCCTATCTTGCAGTCATTTGTGAATCCATCTTATTGTGTTCCTCTTTTGTGTTGATCCTCTGCTGTGCTAAGCATGATGTCCTTCTCCAGGGACTGATCTTCCTGATGACATGCCCAAAGCACATGAGACAGAGTCTCATCACCTCCATGTCTTAGGAGCAATCTGGCTGTACTTCTAAGATTTGTTCATTTTTCTGGCAGTCTGTGGTATATTCAGCAACACCATAATTCAAAGTCATCATTTCTTCTTAGATCTTCCTTATTCATTGTCCAGGGATGAGGTCATTGAAAATACCATGGCTTAATTCTCAAAGTGGCGTTTTGCTTTTGTACATTTTAAAATGGTCTTTTGCAGCAGATTTGCCCAATGCGAATGCAATTTTTTTTGACTGTTGCTTCCATGGGCATTGGTTGTGGAGCCAAGTAAAATGCAATCCTCAGCAGCTTCAGTGTTTTCTGCATTTATCCTAATGTTGCTCATTGGTCCAATTGTGAGAATTTTTGTTTTCTTTATGTTGAGGTAGTATCCTTCCTGAAGGTTGTAATCTTTGATCTTCATCAGTAAGTGGTCAAGTCTTCTTCCCTTTGAGCAAGTGTCGTCTGTATATTGCAGGCTATAAATAAATCTTTCTCCAACCCAGATGCTAGGTTCTTCTTCATAGAACTCTCATAACTTAGTTTTGAAAGCTCAGCAAATCAACAATCTGAGCATTAAAAAAAGAAAAACACATTGCAGTATATAGAAATTTGGTTAGTTATCAGAAAGTATTCATTTCTTTGTGATGCTTAATAGTAGATAGAACAGGGCTTCGTGTAGATGAATGACAGATCTTCCTGTCTATTCCTGGCGTGCTTCCATTGGCAATAGCACCAAGACATGGTTGTAGCTGAAGTTACTTCACTGTTTTCTTAGTTGGATGTTCTAAGTCCAAGTGCTATAGACTTGATTCCTGCTTTTGAATTTATATATATATATATATATATATATATATATATATATATATATATATAGAGAGAGAGAGAGAGAGAGAGAGAGAGAGAGAGAGAGCTCTGGTAGCATAGTGGTTACAAATCGGGCTGCGAATCTTAAGGTCAGCAGTTCGAAAATACCAGCCACTACGTGGGAGAAAGATGAGGCTTTCTGCTCCCGTAAAGATTTACAGGCTCAGAAATCCTGTACAGGGTCGCTATGGGTCAGAACTGACTCAACAGCACTTAACAACAACAACAACAAAATATATATATATATATACTTCAAATCTGCTGCACAGGAACTTTTTAAAGTGTTGAAGAGTAGAGATGTCAGCTTGAGGACTAGGGTGCGCCTGACCCAGGCCATTGTGTTTTCAATAGCCTCATATGGATGTGAAAGCTGGACAGTGAATAAGGAGGATCGTAGAAGAATTGATGCCTTTGAGTTGTGGTGTTGGAGGAGAATACTGAAAGTGCCATGGACTGCCAAAAGAACCAATAAATCTGTTTTGGAAGAAGTGCAGCCAGAGTGCTCCTTGGAGGCCAGGATGGCTAAACTTCGTCTCTCCTACTTTGGACATATTGTCCGGAGGAAACAATCGCTGGAGAAGGATGTCATGCTGGGTAGGGTGGAGGGTCAGAGAAAAAGAGGAAGACCCCCAACGAGATGGATCATCCAGGTGGCATCATTAATGGACTCGGGTGTGGCAGCAGTAGTGAGGTTGGCCCAGGATCGAACATTGTTTCGTTCTGCTGTGCATAGGGTCGCTATGAGTCGGTTCCGACTCGATGGCACCTGACAACAACAACAACATATACTTCAAAAGTCTATGGTAGACTAAGATGTGAGTACCTTGGTGTAGACCATTTGCTCATGTCATGAGTTGAGTTTCCCTGGTGGAAGTAACAAAGCTGGCTGTCACCTATTGTCCCCAAACCTTGCAGTTCAAACCAATTTTGCAGTTCAGCTCATTAACCCACAGCACTACACCAGGACTCCTTGACATTGCTCAGTTCATTTTACATAAAGAAGTCTCTGTGTGGGAGGTTTTTGAACACAGGTCTATTTTAATTTTTAATTAGAGTTTATTTTAATTTAAAAATCAATAATTTCCTTTTCTAGTCTCATCTGGAAATTCACCAATGTGTGAGAGAAGACTCTAGCATTATAAACTTGATTTAGGATCTTGGTGTCACCGGTGTGAATTGACCCAAGTCTAACCCGAGGGTTGTTGTTGTCAAAGTGCCGTCGAGTCAGTTCCAACCCATAGCGACCCTGTATAGGGTTTCCGAGGAGCAGCTGGTGACCTTGAACCACTGAACTTTTCGTTCAAACAGCTTTGCAGTCTGGTGCATTAACCCACAGCACCACACCAGGACTCCAAATGGAGAGTAAAATGGTCTATACTGGCTCTGCATCCAGGTGCCTCACTTTGTGTCTTTACCTGACAAAGGCTGTTACAGGAAGCATTGGAGTCCAGAGTTAGGCATTGACAATTCTCGATTCAGAGAAGATCACAGAGTGCTTCTTAGGGATGCAGCCTGGGTCATGGCACCCAATTTTTAGGGTGTTGTGTCCTTACTTATAAAGCAAAAACCAGTTGCCATGGAGTTCATTCTGACTCATGGTAACCCCATGAATCAGAATTGAACTATGTTCTGAAACTTTTAGATGGCTGGGTCTTTGGAAGTACATTGCCAAACTTCCAAGGTCTCTGGGTGGACTCAAACCACCAACCTTTTAGTTAGCACCTGAGCACACAGGGATGCTAAGAAATGGGAAGGTTTCCAGAAAGATGCAATGGAAAGAAGGGAAGAAAAGAGGACTCACACAATCAAACAGCAAACCAACGTTTGTGGACTCTTTTCTCTTTGGCCCCTTCTCTCTGGTTTGTTCGTAGCCTCCGAGTCGGTGTACGTGGTCTCCCTGCAGTCCATGAACTCCCAGGGACGGAGCCAGCCTGTCTACAGGGCAGCCTTAACAAAGCGAAAAATTGCAGGTATGTTTATTCTAAGCACGTATTGGTGAAACCATGGTCTGGTATGAATGCTGTGTTCTGTTCAAAGGATACGTGTTGGCTGTGTGATGGATTTCCTCATGTATAAAGGACACAGCAGGGAACCTGGTCATAGGTTGAGAACAAGTATGTTTCTTTTAACTTAGAGGTTGGAGTATCTTATGAACTCCCTATCTGAAAAGTATCTCATGATATGTTTTGAATGGCATCTCTGGGCTGTAGATTTCCCATGATAGGAGCTGTTGTTGTTGTTGTTAAGTGCTGTCGAGTGGGTTCCCACTTATAGTGACCCTGGATAGGGTTTCTGAGGAGCTGCTGATGGGTTTGAACTGCCAACCTAGTGGTTCAAAGTCTAGGGCTGATCCTACAGTGCTTCACCAGAAGCAGCAACTCTTTTATCCCCCTGAAGGGCAGGATCTGATTGCACATAAGTCGTTCCTGTGAACAGAGGCAGAGGAGTAACCATGAAGGTAAAGCTTACAGGATATGTGTGTACCTGAATGTTATTCCAGCTCAATTTTACACAGTGGCATTAAATGAGAAAAGATGTACTAGGGTTTGCTGTGGTGCTGTGGGCTAAGCACTGGACTGGTAACTGCAAGGTCTGCAGTTCAAACCCACCAACCACTCTCAGAAACCCCATACAGGGTCACTGTGAATGGGAACCAGTTCAACGGCACACAGCAGCAACATTAAGGAACGATCTTCTTCATGTCCAATCACAGATTTCTTTTCCTATTATTCACATATTAACCATGTTAGTCTAGACATACCTCAGAGATATTGCGGCTTGAGGTCCAGACCACTGCAATAAAACTAGGATCTCAATAAAGTGAGTAATGAAAAATGTTTGGTTTCCTCGTGTATATAAAAGTTATATTTACAGCGTCACATAGTCTACTAAATGTACTAAAGCATGATGAAAAGGTTTAAAAGCTTGTGAGAATGACCAAAATTCTCACACAGAGTGAGAACATGCTGTAGGAAAAATGGAACTAAGAGATTTGCTCACTGCAGTGTTGTAAAAACACACGTCTATTAATTAAAATAAAGCCAAATGCTATAAAACGAGGTATACCCATATACCTTTTCTATCTCATGTATCTTTATTTAAGGAGTCACCACACAACACAATTATTGGATAGCCATGACTTTGCAACATGAAACAAAATTTATCACAATTTTCTACACTATAACACAAGCTGCACATATGTGAGGGGACTTCAAAAAGTTCATGGAAAAATTCCTTGGTCTTTTCATTCCATTTTTCCATAAATGCTTTGAAGCTCCCTCATCTCAAGTTTCCCTTTTATTATTCATGAATTGAATTGCTGCTGCTGTAAAAAAAGTTCCCGGATCACCTTTTAAACAGGTGAAATATTTTGACCTCTCACCCCATACAGGGTCACTATGGGTCAGAATTGACTCGACGGCCCTTCACAACAACGTGTAGCAAAGTCCACATCCTTTGGGAATGTATTTCCTTCAAGCTGAGGTGAAAAACAAAACAAACCATGACTCCAAAAAGCAAAACTGAAGACGTTTTGTGAGTTTTCATTTATGCTAGAGATTAAACAAGAACTCTAGGTTTCATGGCTGGTGCTGTATTCATTCTAAAGATGGAAAAGATAAACTTCTAAGAAGTTGTCAACTTAAAATCATTTCATATCTGAATATAAATCTTAATCTGTTTTGGAGTCTCAGATTCTAAAATGCGAGGACGTGGATCCGATGTGATTACTACTGTGAGTTGAACTCACATTTTCATTTCATGACTTAATCACCCAAGTACCACTCCGGATTGAGCCTTCCTCCCCTAAATTCCTGCTTCCCCCTAAAATCGTCTCAGTTTCCAGACATTTCCCAGGTCTGTTGAGGAAGCAATGAGTCATCATAATACCCTTAACCTAGTACACCATCTTCTTCACTGTTGATTTTCAAAAGGAACTATCCATTTCTTAGTCTGGGTTTAAGCAGTAGCACTTGCTTTTCTGCTCTGACTAGCCAAATAATCCCTTAACTTCCTATTCATGTTTTTTCTACCCTGTTATCATTGTTGTTAAGTGCTGTGTGGTCTGCTCCAACTCATAGCCACTCTGTATGGGGTTTCTGAGGAGCGGCTGGTGGGTTTGAACCACAGACCTTGCAGTGAGCAGTCCAGCATTTATCCTGCAGTACTACATCAGGACTCGTTAAACATAAGCAGTTTAAGCACTGTGTGGATGGGGAGTAGACACTGAGGCACAGACACTCAGCACGGATCTTCCCCTTTCTCTGTGTCCCTTTGTCATTTCAGAAGAGGATGATCTCAATGTGCCCAAAGACATCAGTGTCCGCATCATGTCTTCCCAGTCTGTGCTCGTAGCCTGGGTGGACCCTGCTTTGGAGAAGCAGAAGAAGGTTGTTGCATCGAGGTACTATCTCTCATTTTATCGCTCTGTTTTCATTTTATGTCAGAGATGTGGTTTCTCTGACCCCAAGGAGACACATGTAGTCCATCTTCATTATTCACTGACTTTATGTCCTCTTAAGTGTCTGGGAACCCTGAGTGGGCAGATACCAACCAGCCTTATGTACTGGAGGATTCCTCTCTACATTCCATATGTAAGAATGACTGCCTCATGTTGACTTGGGGGTTGCAGATAAATGTTAGGGAGTAGGACTCCAACATACCAACGATTACGAAGGTGGCAAAGGACAGGACAGCATTTCATTCCGTTGTACAAAAAGTCATCACGAGCCAAACGTCATGGCAGCAGCTGACAGCAGGTGAATTAGCAGATACAGAATCTGAATAACGAGGACCCATTCTTCTCATGATCTTTATTTTCTGACATATGTGAATGTTGGGCTGATATGGAGCTGAATTGGTAATCTAGTCAATCCCTGACTGTCTTCCCCATTTCCCATAATCAGGTGCTACCAGGGCTCGTGTGTAACACCGATTGCAGGACTCACTTCTCATTTGCCTTCTGTTTTACTTCATGTCTGGACCTCTCCTGGATTCCATTGAGTCCTTTGTTGATTTGCTCTGGCTCATGAACCTTCTGTTCATACCTGGAGAATGTGGGGATGTCTTTGGAAGGGACCTCTCCCTTTTTCCTGCTATCCTGGAACACTCACTACAGAATGGGTCTTTATGTCGAGCAGCGGGTAGCCTTCTAATGCCTTGCTCATAGTGCCAGTAACCCAGTCACTGTGGAGCTGAGTCAACTCCACGTGAGTCAGAGTAGAACTGTGCTCAAAGGCCAAGTCTTCCCAAGTGGTCAGCCAGGCCTTTCTTCTGTGGTACCTCTGGTTGGATTCCAACCTCCAGTCATCTGCACAGGGATGCTTTGCTCATAACGGTTCCTCAAAAACATTTATTAAACGTTAAATTTGCTCATGTCCTGTTCTTTGGTGCATAAGCTACACTTATTATCTCTTAAGCCATGATGATACACTATTCTTGTCTAAATATTTATTTGCAACATGCAATAGAAGAAAAAACACTCATAAGATAAAAACGAGTTTTACATTTAAAAGGTGGTGGTGTTCTGTGGAGTCAGTTCTGACTCATAGCGACCCTGTATAGTGTTTCTGAAGCTGTAAATCTTTACGGGAGCAGAAAGTCTCATCTTTCTCCCACGGAACAGCTGGTAGTTTCGAACTGCGGACCTTGACTATATGCCATAGCTGAGTCATAGAGGCGTCAACGTTTGATTTGTGAAATGACTGAAGCCAAGGAAAAGCCAGAGGCTTGCTGGCCCCATTATTATGGGTTAACTTTTGAACTTCTCTGCAACAAGCAAAGAACACTTTACAGTGAATAGAAGATACTGCTGAGATGAATGATGTATCTGTATAGTGTTATCTTATCAGATCAATGGCTTCCTTCACTGTCTGCTAGTGAAAAAGCACATCTACTTCTTTTGAAAGACCTCAAAAGGTTCGTAGCACCTGCCTTAGAGCCATGTGGCCTTCCTGAACATGACATGCTACTGATTACCTCTGAAAATTTCGATTTCCAACATCCTAATCACAATCCTGGTGGGGTGCTGTGAGTTAATGTTCCAGACTGCAAAGACGTTTGAACTACAAAGTCGGTGGTTCAAGTTCACCAGTCACTCCTTGGAAACTCTATATAGGGTCGCTATGGGTCGGAACTGACTCGACAGCACTTAACAACAACATCCTAACGACAACCAAAGAAGGGTTGGATTTTCTTAGCAGAACTGCTGTGTGAATTAGTGTGTCATATCTCCCACCAAACTCTCCTCCTCATTAAATGGCATGATGAACAGCACATTTCGAATCCATCAAGCACTTTCTAAGGCAAAGAGGCCATAGAGCAAATTTCTTGGAAAAGGAAGAAATCCAGTTCACTGGGCTGTGACTCTTCCGTGGTGGGGATGATGTTGGCGCTGTGTGGGACTATGGCATATGACCATGTTTGGTAGCACCATCTCTCTCTCTCTCTCTGATAACTACACACTAGAATTATTTTCATGAACTCTCCTTTCCTGCTCTATTTGTTATGTATTTTGTTCCTTCTCATGGTAGTAAGTCTGCTCAAAAACATATGTTCCTAAACTACACTTGGATCAGATTATGCACGAAATGAGTCTCTATTTTTTTGTTTTGTTTTGTTTTTTTGGTTTGGTTTCCTTTGTCTCTTTTCTGAATAGGCAAGATGCCTTAGGTGATTCCAGTTTTTAGCATTTCTGCAGCACATACACACACACACACACACACACACACCTACGCCTCTGATAAGGCACGCGCCTCATATAACCAGTCTTCCTTCTGCTACTCTGTAATTAATTGTTTCTTGTTCTTTTGAGTTGTAAGGCTTTTTAGTCTTAAAAAGGTACTAAACTTCATGTTTCCTCACCTACCTTTAAACAGCTCTGCCTAAAAATTAGAGCCAAGAGTTTAGCATTTCCTCCTCTCTGATTCCTCTACTTTTAGCGTTTTTTCCCTCTCTGATTGTTTTACTTTTCCCTAAAAATCATCACTTCTGGGGAAAGAAAAACAGCGAGGACTGTAGTGCTTATTTCCAGAGAGTCTGATTAACTGGGTGCAACATGGAATTGCATTTTCTTACAGACAGTATACAGTGCGCTACCGAGAAAAGGGGGAGTCAGCAAGGTGGGATTACAAGCAGATGGCCAACAGACGCGTTCTAGTGGAGAACCTGGTTCCCGACACCATGTATGAATTCGCAGTCCGTATTTCACAGGGGGAAAGAGATGGGAAGTGGAGTACTTCTGTCTTCCAGCGAACACCAGAATCTGGTCTGTATTTAAAATGGTCTTTGTATTTTCATTCTGGGAATTCTCTCTAAATTAAGAAGTAGAGACAGTTTAAGAAGCCAGTAGTGTCAAAGCCAGCCTGGGTGGGCATTCTTTTGAACCACATTTTAGTAGTGCTTCTGCGCATAAATAAAAACATGCTGAGGGACTGTTTCCTTGGGTACATGCTTTATCCCTTCTTGGACATTTTCATTAGCACGCAATTCATCTGACTTGTGGAGCCCTTTAAATTCTAGTACTAGTGTGCACGGAATCATCCTGCCCTATGGGGCTGCCCCCGAGTAAGGCATAGTTCTTCAGAGAGAGAACATTAGTTTCTAAGGCTGAGGTTCTGTTTAATTCTGTGGGCAGATTCTGCTCTGTATCCTAGATGACAATATTTTCCTTTAAAATACTACCCTTAAAAGATTTATTAACGTGAAGTTGGGGCTGGATTTTAATCTCTGAAAAATTTTCAATATTCAGCAATGAGAGAGATTCTGAATCCCTGAAAGCATTTCCCTGGGCATGCCTCAATTCACAGATGAGTGGGTAGACATCACTAGGCAGGTATTACTCAAAGAGCAAGTGTAGAATTTTCTCTCATGGATAATAAAAATGAGCACAGTAGTCATTCTATAAAAAGATGTGTGCTCGGGGAACATGTACCCCTTTTAGAATATTCATCAGGGTGTTTGTAAATGCCTTTTGATTCCTTGTCCTTTCATAGCTCCCACCGCAGCTCCTGAAAATTTAAACGTCTGGCCAGTCAATGGCAAACCAACTGTCGTCACTGCATCTTGGGACCCACTTCCTGAGACAGAGGGGAAAGTGAAAGGTAGGAATTTTGTTCCTGCAGGTATAAAATGCAACTAGCTGGAGGCGATATACCCCAGATAGAGATGCAAACATTTACCCTAATAAACGTGCACTTCTAATCACAGATTCAGTAACTCACAAAGAAGCAGGGCTGCAACATATGTATAAGAGGTGCCGATCCTTGGCAAGGACGCATCAGGCAGTGGGCTCGTTGTCAGCAGGAATCACTAAGTGTCTACTGTGCTTTTCATGTCCTCTACAAGCAGAGGGTTTGGTGGTGTCCTTGAGAAGGGTGTTTCTAATTTACTGGATGGAACATCATAAACTTTTCTTATCTAAACACCATTATTTTCATACTATGAGTCTTTTCAAGATTCCAGTAGGGTCTTAGAAAATAGGAATTAACATAAACGCCCAGGGCACCATAAATATTTTTAATGAGATCATGTATTTCTTAATGGATTAAAAAATTCAAATAATTGCTAGAAAGTGGACTTATTGCCTATTGGTTAGCCTTTCTATTTTTTGAGTGTTCTGGTGGTAGAGGTGAAGGAGAACACATCTCAAAGCAAACAAATATACTGTAGATTTTTAAGAAGTGTAATAAAATATTCATAACTAAAATATATAGTATGTTGAGAACATGAAATAAAAGCATGAGTGTTCTTTTTTCAATGCACAAACATTCAAGAACTTTCCAAATTCTATCTGAAGACATTTTACAGGGCTATATTTGGATTGTTTTCCAGCTATTGCCTATACAAAGGTAGCCTAAGGGTAGGGCAGAATAGACATTTTATTCAAAAAGAAATGCTTTTTATTGTTAATAGATTCTAGACGACAGCTTTAAGTCTAATATGTTCAGAAACCTTGAAAAGTTTGTGTAAACTTGGAAAAATTCAGAAGATCACTACCACCATCCTTTGATAATTTTTAATCTAAAAAGCTCCAGTGGTTCTTTTTTGGATTTGACCATATATTATGTTTTCTGACCTGTAGGGAGTCTTTTAATGAAATGGTAAGGGTCAAAGGCTATGGGTGTGGGATGGTTCTTTCCAAACAATAGTGTATCAAATAATATTTTAAAAAAAGAATATTTTATTGTTTTCATCTTTTTTCCACCTGAGTAAGTCAGAAACAAATAGAGAGAATAAATGTTTAATTGGTTACTTGTAGCATTTCTTTTTACTACCATTGGGGCATTGACTCCGGCCATATTGTCGTGAGGCATCTAGAAATTCAATAAAAACATTGGGGGTGGGGGCTGCCTACATTTTTTTTTTTTTTAGTTTTATTTGTTTATTTTTGCTTCTCTACTTTACTAGAGATGGATTGGCAAAGTGGCTTTACTAGAGATGGATTGGCAAAGTGGCACTATTAATGGGCTCAAGTGTGGCAATAATTGTAAGGTTGGCCCAGGACCAGGCAGTGTTTCATTCTGTTGTGCAAAGGGTTGCTGTGAGTTGGTATTGACTTGATGACACCTAACTACAAAAACTTTAGTAGTGATCCTAATAGTGCAGTGGTTAAAGCACTTGGCTGCTAACCATAAGGTTGGTGGTTCAAACCTACCAGCTGATCAAGAGAAAAATGAAGCTATCTGCTCCCATAAAGATTTAGTTCTCAGAAATCCTATGTAGGGCCTCTATGAATCAGAATTGACTTAATGACAGCTGGGATTTTGTTGTTTTATGGTATCACTGATTTACTTTCTTTCCCTCTTCCACATCTTGGTGGTGGTGGTGGTGTGTCCTGGAGTTGGTTCCACCTCATAGCAACCCTGTACAGGGTTTCTGAGGCTGTAAATCTTTACGGGAGCAGACAGCCTCATCTTTCTCCTACGTAATGGCTGGTAGTATCAAACTGCTGACCTTGAGGTTAGCAGCCCGACTCATAACCACTAAGGTACCAGAGATCCTTCTCTCCCACATCTTAGTCAACAGTCATAGCTCTTTGGTTCAAGATGTTCCCTGTTATTGTTGTTGTTAAGTGCCTTTCAGGTGGTTCCGACTCATAACAACCCTGTATAAGGTTTTCGAGGCTGTAACTCTTTAAGGGAGCTGAAAGCCTCGTATTTCTCCTGCAGAGCGACTGGTGGGCTGGAACTGCTGACTTCGTGGTTCCCACTCCAGGGCTTACCCTACGCTCACCACATTCCCCAAGATGTGCTTTAATAGTCAGTTAAGCACTGTGAAAAATAAGAAGCACTTTGGAGTTTTTATGGCCAAAAGAACCACATAGTAGGAAAAGGATGCATTGCTACTTAGTAAGGGTTTCTGTGTTTCTCCAAGTTTCTCCAAATTGTTCATAGCTCCTGGACATATTAGACTTAAGGTTAAAAGGAATTCAAAGTTCATAATTACACTGGAACATGTTCTACACGTGGGAAATATAGAACATAATAGAAGTATATATTTTGACATGTAAGTATTTTTGCAAGAGAATTGAATCTGTAGGAAAATCTGAATTGCAAAATTTTGTAGACAGTGGGCACTCTTAGTTCTTACTTTTGCCCACCACAAATGACTAGTTTGTTCATTCTCAACGAGAAAAGAATGTTGTGCCTTTTCAGACCAATGAAGGAAAAGCATTTTGGGTTGAAAGTTTCTAAATTGATGGATTTTATTTTTTATTTTTATAAAGGTTAGACATTTAGTGAAAAGAAAATATGTCTATGTGATTCTAGGAAATGTGACAATTGCTTGATTTTTCTGTAATTCCAATGATCTTAATTGGATAAATTTTATAAATCTTCATTAATTTCTTGGAGGAGACTAGACAAAACAGTTTTAAGTGAAGGTGAAGACTATGCTTTAAAATATGCCTTTCTTTTGTTGCAGCATTTCCATGTATGCATAGAGACATTTTCGTTGCTTAGATGAAGTAGCTACACCACCCTATGCTTTGGATGCGGTTAATTAAAGATGGAAACCTTCTGAGTTACAGAAATCTATTAGCAGTTTTTTCCTCACAGTTTTAAATGTTGGGACTGTATCCCATCATCATATATTGAATAAGAAGCTTTCAAAGGCCTGCAAAAAAACTACAATGATATTCCAGACACGGAATGTATATAGCTAGATATTCTGACAAAAAATAGCCATTGCGTAATAACCTGAAACAATTAAAGATGCCAGCAGCTATTCAACCAGTCTCTAGTAGCTGATGCTTCTTTTTCATTGGTTTCTTCTAGCTGGGATGTGTCACAGCAAATTAGCAAATTGTGTTTATGAGGAAAAAACAAAACGAAACACAGCGTAAATACTTTTTGGTCAGTGGTCTGAAGATTGGCTTCCTGGATGTTACATGTTTCATTTGCTTTAAGTATATGATTTCTGTTAATGAGTCTTTCTGGTAGCCCAGATGAATGTTGGTTCATCTTCTGCTGTGCCTGTTCACTGGAGCTGCTAACTTGACGTGCATTACTTGTGTATTAATTGTAGTAATGCATGCTCTAGTTCATCCTACCCATACAGCTGTCTGCTGGACACAGGGCTGTTTTTGGTTTCCTCCTTCCAACCATCTGCCAAATCATTTCAGAATACATTCTTTCATACGCCCCGGCTCTCAAACCATTTGGAGCAAAGTCCCTCACCTACCCTGGAAAGACTACCTCTGCCATGGTGGATGGTCTACAACCTGGAGAACGCTATCTTTTCAAAATCCGGGCCTCAAACAGGAGAGGACAGGGCCCTCACTCCAAAGCCTTCATTCTCACTATACCATCAAGTAAGCATCATGTGTTTCTGGCTCTCTCTTCTGTCTTCTCGTTGTTGCTCTCTGTTTTGTATTTGAGTCACGGTCCTGGGTGCTTGGTCAGTGATCTTTCTGAAACTACTTTTGCATATGGATTTTAAAAAAATATGATCAAATATATGTGTTTTATTCAACATATATTTAAATCGATTTACAAATGAGTCTCCCGCAACACTAAAATGCTATTGATTACTAGCAGGCTTCTCTCACTGGTCAACACAACAACGTTTTTACAAGTAAAAAGTGATATTTTAGGTTGTTGCCATATTTCATATCCTCCCTTCAATTTCTGAATAGCATTTGGTGTTCTGCATTCTGTTATTTGGAGAGCAGCTTTGTCCAGGAGAATTCTTAGTTACCTATTTTATCTGATCACTATCAAAACCAAGCAGGTTAGTAAAGATCCAAAAATGTGTGTAGGGGTATCTTGTAGGACTGTGTTTTCCTCCCCACCCCACCCTGCCTTACTTTTATGACAAATAATTATCAGCACTCTCCTTGTTGTGTGCTGTGTGGGTCCACTGCCTCCTGAAATAATGAACAGTTTTGTCCTGGAAACAACTGAGAAATAGGTGAAGCTTGCTTCCTCTAGATTTCCCTATGTTGTTGTTGTTGTTGTTAAGTGCCTTCGAGTCGGAGCCGACCCATAGCGACCCTGTACAGGGTTTCCGAGGGTGTAAATCCTTACGGGAGTAGAAAGCCTCATCTTTCTCCCGCGGAGCGGCTGGTAGTTTCGAACCACTGACCTTAAGGTTCGCAGCCCGATTCGTAACCACTACGCTAAGATTTCCCTATAGCTTTGTAAATTCCCCTCCACTCTACTTCTCAGCCCCTTTCCCTCAGTCAGTCTGCTCTGAAGAAATTGTAAATTGTAGAGCACTTTGTAGATACAGAATGTTTTGTCTCTCCAGGAGGAGTCTTTTAAAGAAAGGTGTGCTATGGAATCACAAATTTGTTCAGGATTAAAGGAATTTCAAACAAGATAAAGGAGGCAAGGAAGAACATAATAGGGGGATAGAGAACTTTTTGTAATGTCTTAGCCATTACCAATTTGTTATTCACCCAATCACTTGAAAGGCTGACACAGCACAGCCCTAACAGAGCATACTGTGTGTAGTATGTATACATACTGTGTGTAGTAGGAAGCTTCCTTCTCTGCATTGTTATGAATGGGGATAATTCATTTGTAACAAACTGGCCATTAGTTATATTAAGAAAACCCCACCTAAGATTTTGCACTAACAAAATCACTTAGCATTTCACAGCTCTCATTTCAGAATTCCTTCAAAGTTGTTACACACACGCCATTCAGCATACACAGAAACTCAATTCCCACATTTTCTAGGGCTATAGCTATGTATTGTATCGAGCTAAAGAAGGCTCCAGAGCAAAAGTAGCTTATGAAGAAATTGTGATAACTGGGAAAATGGGTGCACAGTGTGCCAAGCCATCGATTACAATGAACCCTTTTTAAACTTTTGCCACACTTCCATCATAAAATTCCTTCTTTGACGGCAAATTCTTTCCAATCTGTTACAGCCCAGGTACAGCAGAAAGCAGACAGTGAGGAGGATTTGAGACCTGAAAAACCTGAGCCTTCATCACCTTCTCGGAAAGTCCCAGCTTCATCAAGACACACTCATTCACCTGTTTCTCCCCAGAGTAGAAATGCTCAGAACCCTCTCCTCGACTTGAAGAACAAAATACTGGCTAATGGTGGGGTGCCCAGAAAGCCCCACCTCCACCCTAAAAAGAGTGAAGAGTTGGAACTTCAATCTACTGAGGTCACTGAGGAGGAGCGGAATGGCGCAGACCCATCCTCCTTGTCCTCTGAGACCCAAGACCCAAAGCGAACTCTGAAGCGGCTACCTCCAAGTAGGTCTTTCTCCGATACCCTCATTCCTCGGAGGACTCCGGCCCGAGCCCCAGTGCCAATGGTGCCCCGAAAGGAAGCCATGGACAAGCATGGTACCTCACACCCCACTCCGGAGGTCTCTCCCTCCACTTCCGTCTCATCTGCCCACCACACCTATATTGATGGTGAAACTGCACGCCTGAAGCAGAGCAGCTCACGCCACCCCTTCAGAGGGACCTTTGCAAAGCTGCCGACCAACAGTGCTGACAACGACTCCATTGATGAAGACGAGGAAGACCATGCTCCCCCCTCCAAGTCCGAGTCCTCCCGGAAGCTGCCTTCTAGAACATCGGCATATTCACGGCCAGCCCCTCCCACCAGCAGACAGTCAGCTTCCAGCCCTGTGCGGGAGAGAAGTCAGGTGCACCCAGAGCGGAAGCCATACTATTCTGGACACCCCGAGGAAAGTCCCAGTGTTCCCAGCCCACCCTCAAGACTTTCTCCGCTGGGGGCCTCAGCTGAATCCCATGTTGGCTCTCCACTGTCCAGGGGGCTGAAGGATGGCCACGTGGCACAGGCCACCAACTCCAATGCACCGTCGAGGTCTACAGTGTCTTCCCCAGACTTTGTCCCTCATTCCTCGAGGACACAGATTCCTGATAGCGATGGCGACAGTGGCAATGATGCAGAATACAGAGGCAGGCAGGCAGAGGCCACTGCCACAACACTGCGGGCCCGGCCAGCAAGCCGGCCTGTCTCTGGACATCTCAATCTTCTCAGAAATAGGCCCTTAGGAGCCAATGGTCGATATCCAAACAGGTTTAGCAACGGCCGAGGTCTAAGGTTGCAGCCTTCCAGCGCACCGGCGTCCACCGCGTCCCCCCGGGGGCCCTCCAGTCCCAGACTTGGCCCAGCCATCCATAGAGATACAGAGGACCAGGCGGAGGATGGGCAACCACTGCCTGCCACCGTTGTCAACGACTTCGTGCCCTCCTCCAGGCAGCCTGCCAACCGGGGGTTGGGCCACTTTAGAAGGGTCGTACAGAGAGGTCCTAGCGTGCAACGAAAGGAGCCTCTCTCAGGAAACCCCAAGTCCGCAGTGGAGACTTTTCCCTCAACGTCGGAAGAAGTGTCTTCTCAGGGCAAGTCCTCGTGGCCCTCCACTAAGGCTCAGGATGTTCAGCAGAGCTCAGACTCCAAGGGTGATGCCCCCCAAATACAGCCGCTGTCCCCAGGGCGCCAGTCCTCCCTGGTGCGGTCTCAGCCCCACCCTGGGCTCAGTGTCCCCAGAAGGACAACACCTGGTCAAGGTCTGGGCGCCAGAGACCATCCTTGGCCACACCGCCCTGTGTCCCAGCACCAGCCACGGGGTCACCAAGATCAGGACTCCGGGCACCCGATCTCCAAACTCAGTCAGGAGCGTCCTCATCAGGGAGGCTCACAGGCTGCACCCCCAGAGCCTAAGCGCCCTCGGGTCCGCCCTCCCTCCTGGGCCACCTCTCCGCAGGGTCGGGACGCAGAGCGCAGAGCCGATGACAGCTCGGAAAGGGCGGCCCAGGACGTGAGGCCTCCAGCGCGCTCGGCCCCGGAGTCTGCTGCGGTCCCCTCCAAGCACAGCCAGCTGGAGGTGGGGGCAGGCCTGACCGATGAGAAGGCCCGCAGCCGCCCCACAATTCCCCGAGGCTGGGCTCCGCGCCCCCGGCTCCATGCCGCGGCCGGGAAGCCGGAGCCACCCGCCCAGCGACCGCCGCCGCCCACGTCCTCGGAGGAGGAAGCCGCGGGCGGTCCCCGAGCTGCCCTGGACAGCGGGCCACACCTGGAGGGACCCACCACTGAGGACCAGCGCAGGCCTGCGCCCCCGGCGCGCTCCAGACAGGAAGAGGACGCGCCCCTACGGCGGCAGCCCCCGGGCCGAGCCTCCGCAGCGCCACCCCGGCGCCCACCACCTGCCACGAGCGCTCCGTCTCCCCTTGTCTCCACTACCCCCATGCTGTCCCTGCGACAGCGCATGATGCAGGCCAGGTTCCGGAACCCTCTGCAGCGCCCGCCCGCCAGAACCCCCTCCAGACAAGGTCTCTGGCTTTCACGATTTGTCGCTGTATTTTTTATTTTTAATGTCCTTGTAGTGTTCTTAATGAGCTCTAGTAGCACAGTGGTTAAGCGCTCGACTGCTTCCCAAAAGGTGGGTGATGGGAACTCCCCAGCTGCTCCTCAGGAGAAACTCCCTGTGGCACAGTCCTATTCCGCCCTATAGCGTGGCAGTAAGTCCGAATCACTGATGGCAGTGGCTCTGGTTTTCTTTGTTTAGTGTTCTCAACAATGACTGTGAAGGTTTTATTTTATTTTATCGAGGATGCAAGGGCTGTGTTGAGTTTTACAAATCTAAGATAATGTCATTCACTTAGCTATCCTGATTTGGAGTGGTAGGATATGCGCTGGACTACTAGCCATCAGGTTGAAGGGTCAAACCCACCAGTCACTCCGAGGAAGAAAGATGAGGGTCACTGGGCTTATACAGGGTTGCTATGAGTTGCATTTGGCTTCGTAGCAGTAAGTCTGGTTTGGTGTATCTCATCCCTGGAGAAGGGTATCCTGCTTGCTAAAGTCGAGGGTGGGCAATAAACAGGAAGACACACAGGCTGCAACAATGATTCAAACATAACAACGCGAGGGTGGTGAGTTCTGATGTACTAGTGTAGCTGAGTCTGAACTGACTCACTGGCATATGACAACAACCTATTTGTCAGGGTTTGCATCATAATTCCTGGTTTTCAAAGGAGTGATCCAGGGCACAGAAATTGGAGGGATTTGCTTGAGATCAAACAGCTTGTGCAATTCCAGGCCCAAATGGTCTAATTCCACACATCTCATTCCCATAGTTCCATGCTGCCTCCTGAATTCTTTAACAGGAACTTTTGTTGTATTGTCACACACCAGCCAGCTGATTCCAGCTTATAGTGACCTCATGGTGACAGAGCAAAACTGCCTCCAAAGGATTTCCTATAGAAGAATTGATGCTTTTGAGTTACGGTGTTGGAGGAGAATATTGAAAGTGTCATGGGCTGCCAAAAGAACCAACAGATCTGTGTTGGAAGAAGTGCAGCCAGACTTCTCAAACTTCGTTGGTCAGGATGTCCAAACTTCGTTTCTCATACTTCAGACATATTGTCAGGAAGGACCAGTCTTTGGAAAAGGACATCATGTTTGGTAAGGTGGAGGGTCAGAGAAAAAGAGGAAGACCCCCAGCGAGATGGATTGGCAAAGTGGCAGCGTCAATAGGCTCAAGTGTGGCAACAATTGTGAAATTGGCCCAGGACTGGGCAGTGTTTCTTTCTGTTGTGCATAGGGTTGCTATGAGTCAGTACCGACTGGATGGCACCTAACAACAACACCAACAGCAATCTTTTTGGTGCACCTGACTCAAGCCATGGCCTTTTTAATCCCCTCATATGCATGTGAAAAGGAGCTCTGGTAGCGTAGTGGTTACAAATCGGGCTGCGAGCCGCAAGGTCAGCAGTTCGAAACTACCAGCGGTTCCGCTGGAGAAAGATGACACAGTCTGCTCCCGTAAAGATTTATAGCCTCGGAAACCCTGTGTAGGGTCGCTATGAGTCGGAACCGACTCCACGGCACATAATGACAACATGCATGTGAAAGTTGGTCAATGAATAAGGAAGACTGCAGAAGAATTGATGCGTTGAGTTATGGTGTTGGAGAAGAATATTAAAAGTACCATGGACTGTGTTGGAAGACGTTCAGCCAAAATGCTCCTTAGAGAAGCAAAGTGTGAGACTTTGTCTGTCATACTTTGGACATATTATCAGGAGGGACCAGTTCCTTGAGAAAGGTCAGCAAAAAAGAGGAAGGCCCCAATCCAACGAGATGGATTGGCAAAGTGGCCACAGCAATGGGCTCAAACGTAACAATTGTGAGGATGGCGCAGAACTGGGCGGTGTTTCGTTCTGTTGTGCATAAGGTTGCTATGAGTCAGTACCGACTCAGAGGCACATAGCAACAACAGTCTTTATGGAGAGATCCCTGGTGGGGACCTGTGGTAAGTGTTGCACAGTGGGTTGTCTGACCTCACGAGGGGTTCCTTGGAAAAAAGACAAGGGAGTCTGCTCCCGTAATGATTTTCAACCTCAGGAACCCTAATGGAGAATGGAACTGTGTTATATGGAATCAACTTATTTGCAGTGGCATTTTTCTATCTAAGGGAGCAGATCTCTGGGTCTTTCTCATGCCAGAGTGGCTAGTAGGCGCCAACCTTTCAGTTAGCAGCTGAATGTTTCATTCATAGATCATAAGTGCTCCTTAACTTATGCTCTTAATCTCTGAAAAATGTGTCTCAGCCACCATGCCTAACTCAGGTCTTGTATATCTCAGGCTATTTTTAGTAGCTCACAGATTTCTAGTCTCTGGTCATTTTTAGCTGCTCATAAGCTCATCAGTCTGTACTTAAGGAATCCACAATCACAGATTAGATCTTGAGGCTCAGTCTTGTTCTTGCTGATTTTATTTACACTCTAATCCTGAAATGCACAAACCCTGGGACAAGTTACTGTCCTGGGTATGAATTGCTCAGATCACAATCGATGCGTGCTGCTGAAGACTAGAAAATGCATGTGAGAGATGAACAAGCACCACACAAAGGAATCACAGCCTTCATTTCTGTGTCAGAGGACAGACAGAATGTAGACAGCTGTGTTTCTGTGGAGCCCAGGGCATCAAGTCTGCGTTCAGTTAACTGGCGCCTTGCACTTTCTTTGCTTGTGTGCTTAGTAAAACATTCCCAATCGTATGTTTTAGTATGTTAATCTGTATAGTATGCTATTTTAGCCCAATGTAAAGACATACCTTACTTACTACATACAAGAATTGATGCATTTGAGTTATGGTGTTGTGGAAGAATATTAAAAGTCCCATAAACTGCTAGAAGAATAAATAAATATGGAAGAAGTACAGCCAGAATGCTCCTTTTAGAGGCCAGTCTAGCAAGACTTTATCTCTCATACTTTGGACATGTCATCAGGAGGAACCAGTCCCTGGAGAAGGACATCATGCTTGCTGAAGTGGAGGGTCAGCAAAAAAGAGGAAGACCCCAATGAGGTGGATTGGCACAGTGGCAGCAGCAGTGGGCTAAATTGTAACAAGGATTATGAGGATGGCACTGGACTAGGCAATGCTTAGTTCTGATGTACATAAGGTCCCTATGAGTAGAAGCCACAACAACAAAGACATATAGAATAGTACCCCACATGGAGGTCTGTTCTCCGTTAACATTGACTTAACGCAAACCTACCTAGCAAACCTACCTACCAGTACTGAACAATAACAACCAGCCGTCCGCGACTTCATTCAGACTCATGATGATTCCCTGTGTGTCAGAGTAGAACTGGGCTCTATAGGATTTTCAATGGCTGATTTTTTTTTTTTTTTTTTTTAAAGTAGATCATCAGCCCTTTCTCCCAAAGCACCTCTGGTGGACTTGAACCTCCAACATTTTAGTTAGCTGAGCATGTTAACTATTTGCAGCATCCAGGGAAAGCTGAGACCTTAGTATTGTTGTTAAGTGTCGTTGAGCCAGTTCTGACCCATGGTGGTGGTGGTTATGTGCCATTGAGTTGGTTCTGACTCATAGCAACCCTGTACAGGGTTTTTGAGCCTGTAAATCTTTATGGGAGCAGAAAACCTCATCTTTCTCCTGCAGAACAGCTGGTAGTTTCGAACTGCTGACCTTAAGGTTCACAGCCCGATTGTAACTACTACGCTACCAGAGAATTTCAGAGGAGCAGCTGGTGAGCTTGAACCACTGACCTTGCAATTCAAATTAACTTTGCAGACCAGTGCATTAGCCCACAGTGCCACACCAGGACTTCAAGACCTTAATGTTGGTTGGGTGGTTGGTTATGTGCCGTGGAGTCGGTTCCAACTCATAGTGACCCTGGAAAGGGTTTCCGAGGCTGTAAATCTTTACGGGAGCAGGAAGCCTAGGAGTAAAATCCACAGGCCTTTGTATAGCATAGAAGCTTAATAAACATTTAATGAATAAATGAATGAATGAGAGAAATAAGTCTCCGACCTACAAACAATTGTCAGAAAACTGATGCACTCTATACCTAGTGGATCAGGCTGAACCTTGGAGACCTTCTCAGCTGAGACCTCCCACCAACTTTAGCTCATCAGAATTGGCAGGAAGTGACAGAAAGGCAAAAGTTTACTTACTAACCATGCTAAACCTTGTGTTATAGAACAGAACTGCTCCATAGGGTTTTCTTGGCTGTAATCTTTACAGAAGATCTCCAGGTCTTTCTTCCAAGGACCACTGAGTGGGTTCACACCTACAACCTTTAGGGCAGTGATCAATTGCGTGCTGTTTCTCTTAGCAATTACTTCGCAAGCAGCCACACAGAGGTCAGTCAGCGTTGAGACAGCACTGTGTATTCCTACATGGTGAGTGATGGCTAACTAGGGAGAGCTGGTGTGTTTAGTGTACTCTGCTAAGAAGAATAGAAAACTATCCAGTACATTTCAGAGAAAGTTTTCTCTATCCTTCCAACCATCCCCCTCTCTAACTTCCAACTGGCTAACATAAAGCTATGGCTAGTAAGGAGTCCTGGTGTGGTGCTGTGGGATAAGCACTTGACCACAAGGTTGGTTTGAACCACAAAGTCGGCAGTTCAAATTCATTAGCCTCACCTTGTTAACCTTATACAGGGTCGCTATGGGTCAGAACTGACTTGAGGGCGCTTAACCACAACAAAATCTAAGGTCTGTGGTTCAAACCCACCTTGCAGTTGAGTGCTTACCCTACAGTGCAACAGCAAGTGCAGTCTTAAGCTTTTTCTGGAAAAATGACTTATCGTTGCCTCTGTAGTATCAGCAGACTCTGCCTTTGCTGGACTTTTAATGGGCACTCATGCTTGTCATGTAGAGTTCTCCATAGACCATCATTACTTAATATATGTAAACTGTTGGCTTAAAACTCTTTATAATGTTTCCATTTGAAACAGTGTGTTACTACTTATATTTTGGTGTGATGCCAACTTCCCAGGAATGCTGAAATTCACCAGGCTATGTTATGTTATTTTTTCTGTGTAGGTTATAATGGAAGACTAAACATAGATGGGAATGTTCTTCCTGGTAGTAATGGAAAACTAAGTGGACAAAGAATTATCAATGGCCCTCAAGGAACCAAGTGGGTAGGGTAAACTTCTTTATATGTACCGCTGGTGTGATGCAGTTGGAAAGAGAAAAATGATGGCTATCGTGTGACAATAAATCCAGTGATCTTTCTCTTTGCTCCCCTCTAGCTCTAACCATTTGTATGAGAAGATCTTTGCCTATTGTTTCTTTCAGTGCTCAGAAAAATTTTTGGTTTTCTTAAGTATCTAGTATGTTCTCTTCTAGCAGCTAAACAAGAAAAGCCTTGGGTCTTGGTTTCCTCTTTGCCTTGACTGTACAGAGATTGAAAGAGATTTGTAGTCCAGCTACAACAATTCTGCAGAGTCAGATAAAAGGCCTCTCAAGAGAACTTACATTTATCTGGTCCTATAGCTTTGTTTTATTTCTATTTTCTGGTTGCTGTTTGATTACCTTTAATCCAACAAATTTTCTGTAAATTACCATGAGCCCTCTGCAAAAGGAAGCCAGGTAAAAAGAAAGAACGAAACAAGTAAAACTCCTGAATCAAATAGGTAGTTTTTATCAGATCACTTTTTGGATCTTACAACAGTTGTTGGACTAACATAAAACAAACCAAAACATAGATAAGTATTTTCTGTGTGTTTAAACTAAACAACTAAGGTTAAGATAAAGGTTTGGGGGCTTTTGTTAGGTTGAGGTTAATGGGCAAAACATACAGCTTTATAAATTTGGGGAATTTTTAATATTTTTCCAGAGAGCCCAAACATAACTAATAGTAGAATTTTCCTTCAAAACTTCTTGTATGTAAGGATATGGTTCAGGAAAGTACATTAGAAGTATATTTAGAGATTTCCTGGAAATTTCAGGCATAAATAATCTGAAAACTTCATATACACATTCTTTAATCTACATGGTTTTAAAAGCATCAAAAATTTATAGTAGGAAGAATACATACTAAAGCAAAATGTCATAGTAAACAATTTAGAATTGATAGACTATGAGAGTGGATTTCAAAGGCAGGTTTGTAGCAATAAATTTTAACTGCCAAAATAGCACTTAACAAAGTGGCCTGCTTGCAGGGTTTGCTCACGTGGCATGGAGGGGCAGAGCACTGCTTCTCCATGTTGGCAAACACTACCCAGTGGAGGGAGTTGTTGTTGTTGAGTACCATTGAGTCTATTCTGACCCATAGCGACCCTGTGTAGGGTTTACAAGGAGCAGTTGGTGAACTTGAACCACTGACCTTGCAGTTCAAACGACTTTGCAGTCTGATGCACAGCGCCACACCAGGACTCCAGTAGAGAGTGGGGGATTGTCAAATACAGGTTGTGAAAAGGGTCGAGTAATTTGCATGTCTGACCAGTTCTGGTGATGGGAAGCCATAGTTGGAGAGCAACCGGTGTAATGTATGAGGTCGTTACTTAGCAAAAAATAATAACAGTGCTCTTCCAGCTTACAGTTCCGTAGAATATGAAATTTTTACATGCATACTCATTAGACAATTTAATTACAAATCACATTGTTTCTATTATAGACACCTTGAGTTTTAACCTCCAAAGCAAAATGGAAACATTTCATATTTTTAAAGTACAGTAGCAATATATGTTCATTGCAAGAATTTACAGCAATTCAGAAATGTATGAAAAAGAAAATAAGTATCCCTTACCCCAAACCACTTCCTAAAGTTAGCCACTGTTAACAGTTTGGGATATATCCTTCCTGACTTTGTTTTTCTCTGCAGCTTTAAATTTATATGAAAAATGGGTAGATTTATGTTTTGGAAACTATTACTTTAATCTGAATTTTCTTTTCACCATTTCAGTACATGCCAATATATGGAGAATTCCCCTATCTTTTTTGTTGATTGACTAGTATTATTTTATGTGGATGCACTATAATTTATTTAAACTGTTTTCCCAATTGATCAACAGGCCATTTCCTAAATTTCAGCAGTAGACACAATATACTATACATCTTTTAGGTATTTAAGAATTTAAGACAAATACATATTCTGTGGGTATGAAATATGAATGTTTTGTACCTTATTCTTTTTATGAATGATGGTGACTCAAATAATGTTACTCACTTGCATGATGGCTTCCTTCTGTGGATGCTTCATGCATATGTGCATGCCGTTGGATTAGCAATAGATATTTTGAAATGCCCAATCTCTTCTTTAATCTCTGTCATGGATCTAGGTTGTGGATCTTGACCGTGGGTTAGTACTAAATGCAGAAGGAAGGTACCTTCAAGACTCACAAGGCAACCCTCTACGGGTTAAACTAGGAGGTGATGGAAGGACCATTGTGGGTAAGTTGGAACAGTTTCTACAGAACAAACGTGAATTGAATCAGCTGTAGAATACCACCAACAACAACAGAAAAGCTATTTCTTCCCTCCTCCTTTCCCCTCTCTTTCTTCTCCTACTCTTCCTTCTTCTCGTCCCTTCTCCTTGTCACCTTCTTCCTTTTTTTCCTTCTTCTCCTCTTCTGCTTCATTAGTGTCCTCTTCCTTCTTCTCCTCTTCTTCATTCACTTCTCCCTCCTCTTTCTTGCCGTCTGCCTCCATATCTTCCTCCTCTTCCTTTTTTTGAATAGTTGCCTTGGTCTTGTTACTTTTCATTGTCTCCAGAGAAGCAGAACTTAGTGTTGCCCTGAAACAAATTTAGATGTATCCTTCCTACAGCCTCCATTCATCCTCTAAAAAAATGTGACTTTCTCGTATGTTCTTGAAATTAAGCCGTCTGGAGCAGGGGTCCCTAAATGATGCCTGCAGACTGAATCCCACCTGCTGTCTCTGCATGGCCCGTGAGCTAAAATGGGCTTTCATGTTTTTAAATGATTGGGGGGAAATTGAAAGAATATTAATATTTGCAGCACCTGAAAATTATATGAAATTTAAATTTCATTTTCCATAAATGAAGCTTTATTAGAACATAGACACTCTGAGTAGTTTATGTGTTGGCAGAGGTTTTTTCAAACCCTACAGACACAGAATTTAATAATTCCACCAGAGACCATCTGTTGTTACTGTTTGTTAAGTGAACCCTCAAGTCAGTTCCAACTCTTGGCGACCCTGTGTAGGGTTTCCAAGGAGTAGCTGGTGGATTTGAACCATCCAGTGCTTGTCCTATCTTGCCAGGACTCCATCTGGTCCTACAATATTTATGCTTGGCCCTTTGCAGAGAGTTTCCCGTCCCTTGGACTGAAGTAACACTTTTCCTCCTTAGGTAAAGGAAGAAGGAACAGGAAAGAATTACATTCCATGACTGAACCAGGCAGACCTGGTGGAGCAGTGGTTAAGCGCTCAACTGCTGACCGGAAGGTCAGTGGTTTGAACCCTCAGGAGAAAAGACCTGGTGATCAAATCTCAGAAAGATTCTAGTCTCAGAAATCCAGAGGCAGTACCACTCTGTCTTTTACGGTCACCACGAGTCAGACTTGACTCTCTGGTGCAAAACAACAATGACTAGAGACTATATATTTTCTTAGGGTATAAGGGCATGCAGATGAAATATTCATATGTTGATATAAAACAGTACAGAGTAGTGCACAATATAATAAGCCCAGACATCACTGAATAGCAGCAAATATTGCTCCCTCAGCTGATAGCCATGTCATTATTATTCTGCCTACTAACTCAAGCATGAGAGCACACATGCTTTGAGAAGGCGCTTTCTACTTGTTCTGTTTTTAAACAGTCTGATTTCTCAAGAGAGCTCATAGATTGCATAGATTTTGTTTGCTTTGGTTTCAGATATGGAAGGCACTCCTGTGGTGAGCCCTGAAGGACTCCCCCTCTTTGGGCAGGGGCGCCATGGCAAACCCTTGGCTAGTGCCCCAGACAGGCCCATTTTGAGCCTTGGAGGGAAGCCCCTGGTGGGCTTGGAAGTTGTCAAAACAACCACCCGTGCCCCCACCACAACTGTGCAGCCCACCACCACCCCCACCAGCACCCTCCCCACCACCCCCCCGACCACCACTCCCACCACCACCACCACCACCCCGACCACCACTCCCACCACCACCACCACCACCCCGCTGCCCACCACTACAACCCCACGACCCACGACCACCACCACCCGCCGGACAACCCCCACAAGTCGTCGGAAGACCACCACCACCCGCCGGATGAGCACCATTACACGCCCAAGGACTGCAATCCGAACCACCACACGGGCCACCACCACCACCACCACCACGCCTGAGCCCACCACCCCAGTTCCTACCTGTCCTCCTGGCACCATAGAACAACATGACGAAGAGGGCAATCGGATAATGGGCTCCAATGGGACACCTCAGTGTTACCCTGAAGAAGGTAAGCAGTCTCCATGCTAAAGGTCACCCATTTACCTATCCAGCATGCTCAGTTCCATAGCAGGATATCCAAGGCTGCAGGTGAGGAGTAAAAACTGAGCCAGCAGTATGGCAGTGGGGGCTACTTATAACCTTGGAAATTTACCTTGACTATCGCAGACCACCACTAGGATGGCTAGGTTGAGCAAATAAAAATAACACATGGGACATATTTGCATTTAAAAAGTAACTTATTGCTTACCTAAAATCCAAAATTTTTTCTTCTTTTTTTTTTTTTTTTAAGGTTTTTATTGTGGATTGAGTGAAAGTTTACAGGGCAGATCATCACTTTTACATTCAACAAATCATACACCTTGTATCATTACAATGATTATAATCCCCTCCATGTACCATCAGTTAAGAGTATTTCTCTTTATATACTTTAGCTTTTTTAAAAAAACAACAACACCAACAACAAAAACCCCACTCAGGCATATATAATAATTTACATCTCCAAAGGGCATGTTCTGCAAGTCTGTCTTCTGGCCACCAGCTCTTAGTCCCTCTCTTCCCATGAATCTACAGTCCTCAGCCGCACCCCCTCTCCATGACCCTATTTCTGCCTCCATCTCTGGTGTCGCTGCTTCTCTGGATAAGGTCCTGCATTCTGCTTGTGTGCTTCTCCCTGGATGGTCCTAGGGTCCTCTGTTTCTGGACTGTATGATTAACCACTCCCATGTTTTTGTTACAAAACTTCTACCTTTACAATTGTGAAAGTGGCAATTAATCATGATAACAATTATTCACTATTGAATAATAAGAATCTTATCTCTTTTCAACAGATCCATCTAGATAAGATGAAATCTATTCATTGGGGACTCTTTCTTTCCCCCCATACTCTTAAATTAAACTCCCTCTTGAAACCTTGTAAGCCAGTCACTTCATGCCTTTTTCGCCTTCTCATTTCAGGTAGCCAATGTCTAAGTTACCTGTCCCTATCTACCCCGTGTACAGAGGGGATAGCATTGACACTTGATGTGAAGACTCCTTCCCTCTCTGTTGGTATTTAGAGTAACTACCTCTCTGAGTATAGGTCAGGTTCTTTAAGTTATAGCAATTTACCCTTGTTTCCTTTATTAAAAAAATAATAATAAATTTTTTTTTGTTAGGAAAATTTTCTTCCAGAAGCTCTTCAACTATCTCATCTGTGGACTTGTGTGATTCTTCCTGTTCCAGAACATCAATAATTCTTAAGTTACTCCTCTTCATATCGTCCAACATGAATCTTAGGCCTTCTTCAGATTTTGTTATCCTTTTTTTCTGCTTGCTCTTCTATCTTAGTAGTGTTGAGAGAGTTTTCTTCTAACTTGCTAGTTCAGGCTTCTAACTCTTCAATTCTACTCTTTTGCCCTTTCAGTGTATTGTCCATTTCTAATATTATATTATTAATCATTTGGACCTCTTTCTATAGGTTTTGAATTGTTTCGAATGCTGTATCTATCTTATTTGACTTCTTTTCTTATTTTTCTCAACTTTATTGTATAGTGTTTTGATACATTTTATGATCATTTTTCTGAATTCCTTCTCAGGCATTTCCAAAGCCTGCCCATCTTCCAGTATATAGTGTAGGTCCACTTCCAGCTCTTTTGCCTCAGTCACTTTATCTCGTTTCTAGACATGTGCTGATATGGTCATCTGTTTCTGGTTTTTGGGCATATATCAGGAGTTAGCTGTGGCCTTAATATTTAGATGGTTTTGTGTTTTGGTATTTTTTATGCTTTCTGATTGTCTCCAGGTAGATCAGGAGATCGACTTCCCTTTTCACTCTTCTTCCTGAGAAATTTCAAGATGCCACTGTTGGTTGTTAAGACGTAACTCAGGATTTAATTTTTGGCCTGTTGCCTTTTTAGTCTGCCTGTTCCACTCCACAATCCCCATTCAGGCCTTTTCCCTAGTGATAAACAGTTCACTGACAGCTGTGGCAGTTTGGTTTTAAGTGGAAATCATCACTTTAAATTTTGAGGAGATCTGCGTGCCTGCATAGTAGAACCCTCAGGGGATGGGAGTAGGGTATTCATTCCCTCAGGCACCCCCACTATTCACCAGAATGGAGGTGTGCAGACAGAGAGAGACCAATGAACAGACACACACAAAATGAATGTTTACACCTTTATCTCCTGTGGTTCTGTCAGGCGTCCATGGCTGCTCTGATCCTTCCCCTGCTTGGTCTTGTCCAAGATGGCGGTTCCGGGCACAATTGACTGTCTTGAATTAGAAAGCCATCAATTTATTGCTTCTGCTACAAATTCCCCTAGCTATAAGCCTTCTAACCTTCTAAATATTCTTTTATATGTGGTTCAGAGTTCTGGCACCATCCCCTGAGCCTGCTTCGTCTGGTATTCTGTGTTGTTGCTGACAGAGCTCTTCACTACACTTCCACCCAATCTGCCATCTTGTTTGTTCTCCCTTAAAATCCAAATATAACTGTATGTTTTGTTTTATACCAACCAGCCATTGTCACAGCCCCGTTCTAATACTTGGCAAAAAATGGGACACTATCAGCTTGAGCTAGCATCTCCAAAAGTGTGTTTTGTTGTATGGTAATATATTAGTAGTTGTTATATATTTTTAAAAGGTTTCTGTGAGTAATTGTGGTTTGAAAAAGGTTAAATGACATTTTTACTGTTGGACCACTCAGATCATTAAGTGGGTTCCATGTTGTGACTCTCCAAGAAAAGTCATGTTTCCCAAGAGCATTTGGCAAGTGTGGGCATGTCTGACGAGTGCAAACAGGGACTGAAGATACTCTACAGCTCCTCCTTTTGGAAAATGCAAACATCCACTTGGTGAGACTTCTCCTGGGAGTTTGGTCTCCACATTGGGTAAGATGGCAAGGTTTCCCTTCTCTGGGATACCAAAGCAAGGCGATCCTGCTGCCCACGATGTCTATTTTCCTATGAGAGTTGCACGCAAGTTCGCCCTAAAGAATGGAAGCTAGACCATGGTGGATAGGTCCCGTGGAAACTGCACAGAGAAAATGAAGTCATCTCCCTTCCGCCATATTGGAAATGGAGTGCATTTTTGGTTGTAAGACATGTGTTTTAACCCAAGGCAAAATGAAGACCCTTCATTTCAGGAATTATTTGCATGATCAGAATATTTTAAAAATGTAATCATTATGAACTTGAGTGTTGTATTCAAAATGGGAATTTTATTTGAAGTCAGTCCTTCCATGGAAAAAATTACAAATAAACAGGAAAACTTGACATATCAAAAAACTCACACCAAAGAACAAGGATACACATGCCAAGGAAGAGGACCATTGGAAGGAACAGTCTTATACTACCAATTTACCCAGTGAGTACAAATTTGAATTTGCCTTTGAGTTGCTGTTATTGAGATATTGTTACTTTCCTTGCCCTCTTATTTTGGCATACATTAATGAGTTTATTTTCTAAAAAACTGAAGTCTAATTAGAATTGATAATTGCTTAATAATTGGTTGTAGACAGAAAAAAAGACTGTTTTTGGATTTTATTTTATCACTATTATTATAGTTTTATCTACTTTTATATAGATCTTTTATTTTGCATTTTTGGGCCTTATTTGGCATGAAAATCAAAGTTTTTCTCTGGATTTTTGTGTCTTACGTATTTGCAAATCATAATTTATCTATCTATCATCTATCTATCTATCTATCTATCTATCTATCTATCTATCTATCATGATTTTCAAATATGTGTGTGTGTATGTTTGTTGTTGTTATGTGCCATCCAGCTGGTTCTGACTCATAGCAGCCCTGTGTAGGATTTCTGAGAAATGAATGGTACATTTGAAATGCCAACCTTGTGGTTAGTCCATTATATACATACGTACATACATACATACATATATATCTATGTATGTATGTGTAGTATATGAAGTACTGGTGTGGGGCTGCAGGTCAGATAACTAGATAGTCCATAAGTAAGAAGTAGGTATAGATTGAAGCTAGGTACTCTCTCATTAGAAAGACGTACTGATTATCTTAAAAATTTATAGGTTAGTGGTGGTTGTCATGGTTGTGTGCCACCAAGTCAATTCTAACTCAGAGTAACCCTGTTTAGGGTTTCTGAGGTTGTAATTCTTTATGAGAATAGAAAGCTTCATCTTTCTCCTGTAGAGCGGCTGGTGGGTTTGAACTTCCGATCTTGTAGTTAGTGGCCCAACACATAACCCTTTATGCCTCCAAAACTCTTTATGTAGTTTAATTGTTATTGTTGTTAAGTGCTGTTGAGTTGGTTCTGACCCATAACAACCCTGTAAAGGGTTTCCAAGGAGCTACTGGTGAGTTTGAACTGCCGATCTTGCAGTTCAAACTGACCTTTCAGTTGAGTGCTTATCCTACTATGCCATACCAGGAGTCCATATAGTTTTGTTGGTGTTAAGTGCCATTGAGTCAATTCCGACTCATAGCGACCCTGTTTAGGGTTTCCAAGGAGTGACTGGTGAATTTGAACAACTGACCTTAAGGTTCAAACCAGCCTTGCAGTCCAGTGCATTACCCTGCTGGCCATAAGTATAAACACCAGCCACTCTTTGGGGACCTTATACAGGGTCATTATAAGTCATAATGGCCTCAATGACATTTAACAAAGCAACCTTGTGAAATACAATACATCCACTGCCATTGTGCTGCTTATGACTCATAGTGTCCGCACAAGACAAAGGTAGGGCTTTCCAATGAAATTTCTCAGGCTGTAAATCTTTACAGAAGCAGACTGCTTCATCTTCTCCCACAGAGCGGCTGGTGGGTTTGAGCATTGGTATTTCAGTTAGCAGGCCAATGCTTAACCCTATGCACCAACACACAGTGCTGTTTCTTAGGTGAGTATCTTTCCATGGTCCTGATGTGCAAAAAATTGCATTGTGTGAACACCATACTAGTATGCAGAACAGAGATGCTTGCAGTAAGAGCTATTCTGAGCCTCACTGTGGAAGACCACACCATTCCCACTTTCTCCTAGCCCCCTCTCTCTACCCC